CCCCATCGCCCAATGCCACTGACTGGAGTAACAGACTAGTATAGAGCCTCGTACTGAAAAATCTCCCCCACCTCCCGGTAAAGTGTTGCCCAATGAAACAAAATTTTGGAAGAGAGGTGTTTTTTTATTTTTGCTTTCTCGTTGTCCACTAGGATTTGAGATTGGTGTTGTCGAGACGAAACTTCAACGCCTTCAAGGTTAGATGCGTCTCCCATAATACATCAAATTGTTTCCATACAGGCGTAGCTATCAACCAAGGGGGAGGGTATGGGGCGGATCCTCGTCTCTAAATGCAATGGTGTACATCAGAGGGCATGCTTATGATTATGATCGCTGGGAGAAGGAAGGCGCAGAGGGATGGTCGTACGCAGATTGTTTACCATACTTTAGGAAATCTCAGACTCATGAACTGGGTAGGTGTTCAGGTCATTTTTCGACTACTATTTATACTTTTAATTATTCTTGGAACACCACATCTATTTAATCGTGGAAGACCGCGTAATGACCAACCGCATAGACCTAATAACGGACGAAAAGGGATTAAAGTTCTCCATTTTCTAAATCTCAGTAAGGCACTACAAACGTTTCATTACAGAAACTGCGATGCTGCGATAATAAAAGAAACTGTTCTTTGCTGTTCTCTGTTCTCTTCTTTTGCTGATGATGTGCAAAAGCTTCGTATTCCTGGATGGCTCGTCTTTCTGGTGTCGGTTGAAATCTTTAATGTCTTGCGCAATTTTTTTAACAAGTTTGTCGCAAAAGACAAAAGTATTCTGGGCGATTTAAGAATTATTCCACGAGAGCCAAAAGTCTTTTATTCAGTTACACCGTTACTAGTAGCGGATCCAGGCCTTTAGCGAAGGTGGAGGGGGGGAGAGCGGTTTATTTTTGTGTGTACACCTGCCGGCTCTTCTTCCTCCCGCCCTTTTTTTTTCAATTACCCAAAATAAGGGAGGAGGGGGAGGCCCCCGGTCCCCTCCCCTAGATCCGCTATTGGTTACCCCCAATTGATAAAAGAGGTTATTGCTGCGCGCGCGGATGTTGTTCTGCTCGTTATCGTTTGTAGGCCCAGATGATTACAGAGGAGGTGATGGACCACTCCATGTATCTTGTGGAAAGCCAAACGGCAACCCTTTGTACCAGGCATTTATTGATGCTGGTGTCCAAGCTGGTTATCCCGTCACAGACGACATGAATGGCTTCCAACAGGAAGGGTTTGGTTGGATGGACAAGACGATTCATAAAGGAGTACGGTGGAATACAGCAAATGCCTACCTCAGACCTGCTTTAAAGCGCAAGAACCTCCAAACACAAACAAGGGCCTTGATCTTGAAGATTTTGTTTGAGAGCAACCGCGCTGTAGGAGTGGAGTATCAGTTGGGCAATCAAATAAAACGTGTTGGAGCCAGGAAGGAAGTTATTTTAGCTGCTGGAGCCATTAACACACCACAGTTACTAAACTTGTCGGGAATTGGAAATGCCGACGATTTGCAAAACCTTGGTATTCCTGTGAAGGCTCACCTTCCTGGTGTCGGTTTCAATCTTCAGGATCATGTGTCTGTGGCTTTTATGCAGGTTTGTAGTATCTATCAAGATATTCCAGAGAACGTTACGCATGCAATCCTAGGTTCTTACATACCTGTGGTCTCGTTTCAGGAGTGTACTCAACCCCTGACGCTCTACCGTACTCTGAAGTGGTGGAACATGATTCCAATAGGAGTGAAATGGTTCCTCACCAGAACTGGACCATGTGCAACTGTACACAAGGAGGCTGGTGGTTTTATACGCTGCAAGAAGGACATATCGCATCCCAATATCCAGTTCCAGTTTGTACCTCTGGGGTACAAAGATGATGGCAGAGTGATTTTGCAGAGGGATGCTTTCATGGTGGGTGAAAGATAAACTGTTAGGATATCATACAATTTTCCAGGTGTATTTACTTTTACCCTTTAAATCCTAAGAGCGACTGGCTTTTAATTTCTTCTTACGGTAAAGAAAATGATCCTTAACTCTGAAAGTTCCTGATTGTACATATCAAACAAATTCTCCTCGTCAGCATCTTAGGAAATGTATAGAAAACAGTATGGAGAATATGCATACTGATGTTAGGGCGTTAAGGGTTTAGCTGTGTGTTAGGTAAATTGCTAGTCGATGGTTCTGACAAGTCTGTTCTGATGACAAGTGCTAGAACTTTATGGTTTAGCGTTTCTACTATGTTTTAGAGAAACTAACACCGCGTGGTAAAGGAACTTGCACTTCGACAAAATCTTGAGAAGGAGAAGTTCATCTGTCAGTGTGGCTGTTGTTGCTATACTGCCTGAAGTTCATTAAGTTACAGTGCGGTACGTTTATTGTAGATAGTCAGCCTTTTCAAAAGCTAAAAGTTATAGAAACGTCGAGTATTTTTTTATTCCCTTACGAGATTCATGTTGATACCCTTCGTGCAACAAGTCGTGGATATGTAAGACTCAAGTCCAAGAATCCACATGATCATCCTAATATCAACCCACAATACCTGTCCACTGAAGAAGATCGAGTGGAGCTCAGAGATGCTGTTCGACTTACTAGAGACATAATCAGCCAAAGGGCTTTGGAGCCATTCTGTGGGAGAGAGCTAGAACCAGGTACTTACAATGAAGAATATGGTAGCCATAAAGTGGTTTATTTTACCAGATATCTCAGCAGGTTTTAGGGTCTTACTCTCTATAAGAATCAGTTAAAAAAGAAACAAAATACTACCACATTAAGACGCCTTCTAGTCCACTGGCGCTCCAGGCAATGCGTGTGTGCATCCTTCGGTTTCTTAATTACCTATTCCTTCTATAGACATGCTACTTTGATCCCTTGTGACCGGCTGCCTGAAGTTTTTTTTTTTAATACATGTGTTAACTGATTTGTTTCGTACGTGTAGGGTTGATTTAAAATGTTAAAATAACAGTTTGTTTGCTTGTATGCTTATTAAGGTGATCATGTTCATACAGATGAACAAATTGACGCCTGGATACGACAGAACGCCGACACTGTTTATCACGCATCATGTACTTGTAAAATGGGTTCCGAAGATGACCGGATGGCTGTTGTCAATAGTAAAACGGAGGTATTCGGTGTGGAAAATCTAAGGATTGTTGACGCATCAATCATGCCGAGTGTTGTGAGTGGAAATATCAACGGACCAGTCATTATGATCGCGGAGAAGGCTGCAGATGTAATTTTAGGAAATCCTCCTCTACCGAAATCGAGAGCATCAGTGTTTGAAAAGCCAGATTAAGAGCTTTATTTCGCTCTTTGATTGGTCCAGAAAACTCGCGCTACTCTCCCAACCAATCAGTTGCAAACCTGAAATCCATCCCGACTTGGTGACCCGCGTTTTCCCGCGCTTTAGGCAGTTTGCTAGAAGAACAATGTTTAAATGTAATCGGAGTAAGCGGAGTCAGCATTTTACGAGGAACAACTGGTTAACAATCGCCTTGCCTCTCTCATGACAGAAACTTCTGTTGGAGAAATGCGCTGGCACTTTCAAATAAGAAAGCAGGTTTTGGTTTAGGGATTTTTGGAATGTATAAAGTTGCATTTACGACATCCTGATAAAAGGTCTCCCTGATTCTTTACTGAGTAGAGGCTCATTTTAGATCTTTTTTTCTACTTTTACTTCTTTGAGAAAGGATCAGCTTTATCTTTCCCCGATAAGCTTCCTTTCCTCAAGATCATAAGCCCTTCTACTAATGTCTGGAAGTGATATAAGCCTGGGGCTTTTAAAATTAAAAAATACATTAATTTGTACCAAAAGTACTCTGTATGGTGAGATAAAAGTTCGTCCCATCTTTGCGGCTTGGAAAAACTCGCTATGCGATTTTACTGCCTGAAATCAATCCCGGGTGATCCGGGATTGTTGGTTTTGCTTTACTTCACTCTGTGATTGGTCTTGGCTCGCGTCACTCTCTCTACCAATCAGTGGTAAAACTAAAACCTATCGCGACTTGGTCGCCAGCGTTTTTCCGCATTTTTCCGCGTTTTCCCGCGCTTTAGGCAGTTTGCTTGTTTCTGCTTTGAGTTCTACCTTACTAACCCTTGAAAGTAATATCCTTTCTTCAGGTAAGGGGTTGGGATTACTCTAGTTTTGATTTTACGCCATTCAATCGAGAAGCGTTCTTATAACGGAGTGACAGTCTGTTGGAGAAAAACTGGAGTAAAACAGTTTCGAAAAGTATGAGCTATTCACAGCTGCAATAAATCCCTCACTGTTTGAGGATAAAGTCCGATCTTCTTTTAGTTGTTATGCTATTGTTGATACGATCTTTGCAGCTAACTTTTGAGTCGAGCAAATTTTCCTATAAATGTTAAAGCAGTTAATCAACACGTTAACCGTTTGTCGTTTCGGCACTGTGATTCATCATTTAGGCAATCAATATTTAACAAATATTCGCCGAAGGCGAGGTGAATATCGTCGAATAATCCCCGAGACGAAGTAACCGCTCGACCAATCAGATTGCTGGAAACTCTTTGCTCAGCTCTGAAATTATTCTAAAAGTGATTATGTCATCGTTAAAGCCGACTTACCCTCTGTTTCAGAACTTTGTTACACTTTCGCATGAACATCAAACGTTTATATCTGGAGGAGTATCGAAGGCTGTATGTCCGAGTGAATTCGTGCAGCATGGAAGTGGGTAAAAGTATGCTTTTCATTGATGAAGCTTCTGAATTGTTTTGAACTGGACGGAGAGAGGCTCGACTACTAGCCGCTGTTCGGGAACCGGAGCCCGCGCTCCTACGAAAACCCACTGGGAGGAACGAAAAAGACCCGAATCGAGAGAGCGGCGGAAATCAAGCCAACTCTCCGCCCTAGTTTCAAGACTTCTTGAACCGCTAATTTACTTCCGGTGGCACGTCGTGTCATCAACTCGTAACATTTTAACTTGATCAGATTAATTTCAGTCCTCTTGGCGCAGGGGTTGGAGATAACCAAAATACATCGACACAAGTAAGCTGTGATCAGAAGTTCGATAGCAGTATTTTAGTGCTTGACATGCAAAATTTATTTGGCTGAGTACGTAAAAACAGCGAGGACCTTGGCGCGGAGCATAGTGAGGGTCAGTAGAGCCGATGTTAAAACCTATGTGTCACAATCTATTAATATAAGACTTGTCTTTCGTGGAACTTCGCTCAAAGTGTAAGCAAACTCTAAAGAGGTAACAGCAAAGCATTAAGGGATGATTTAGGGATCGAGTAATGCAGTAAAAGCCTAGCTGCGGAGGAATGAGGTCATATAGTTTGCATACAGGCCTTCTCTAGACACACAGCTCCCATGAACAGAAACAAATTATTACACGAACAAAAGATACTTCATATGATGCACGATCCTCGCAGTAGATAGCGCTATTTAAGCAATAGCGAAAATCAGACCTGAAAAAAATCAGGCCTGTACGGGATTCGAATCCCGTACAGGCCTGATTTTTTTCAGGTCTGATTTTCGCTATTGCTTAAATAGCGCTATCTACTGCGAGGATCGTGCATCATATGTATCTAATACCGCAGTACAAAATATATGAACTTCATATATTTCATTGTATCTCATAAGATACTTCGTCTATCTACCCCCTCCCCCCCTTCCCACATTAAAAAAAAAAAAGAAACTCAAGGCAATTAACTGGAATATCTAAAGGCTAGTATGCGAGGGCAAGCGTGAAACCAGTGGCTTCTACACCACCGATTTTATTGCAGGTATTGTGAGGATGAAGAGATTTTGCTTGGGATTTGTTCAGACCACTAAGGTATCCAGAAGAAAATTTACCTGGAAATCAACTGGTTAGTGTTAGGCCAATTGGATTTTTGTGGATTTTGTTAATTTTCTCAAGATAATTTTTAATGCAAGTGCCATCGTATCAAGTGTTAATTAAATTGGACGTGTGCTGTCACACACCCTTACTCATCATTCCATGTGAGGGAGGGTGGATGAAGTCTTCTCTTGATTGACATGAGTTAACTGTATGTTAAAACATAAAGGATTTGATAAACTGGGCTAGATAAGATACATGCTATGGGGTGTATGCCATTATCCAAGATCAGGAGGTAGCCAACTTGGATTGTTTCAGATTTGAATTAATTGCACTTTCTTTGTGATTACTGCAGAAAGCAGTTCCAAGACAAAAAAAAAGTTTTAATATATGTATTTTGCTTAAAGAACCCATGGTTAGGGTATTTATTAACCTGACTGAAGATAGTTTAATGTTTTAAAGTGAACTGTCAGGGAAATTAGAAAATTACTGAGGAGAGTACTTGTGATGAGTCTAAGCCTGAGCTTCCAATTAAATCAGCAATAATTTCTTTTATTATATGGCTGTGTCTCACAAGGACTGGGAACAACCAAATTCACGAATTTGATTGGCTGAAATCAATATTGAAAGCGGTCTAGATTTTTCTATCAGACTGGCATCTAGACCAGTAAAGAAGGAAAAGGTACAAAGAATATAAAAAATTGGCATTTAAGACACAGCCATATAATAAACATCTTATTAACCAAGCTAGGTGTTTGATGCAATCTCTAATGGCCACAAACTATCTCACTTATTTCCTACCAATCATGTTTAGTTCTTATTAACCGAAGGTGAGTCTGTATGGGAGAATCTTGACCTTGGTCGCTGGTACAGACCTCACTGCACTCGGTCAGCACTGGCGTACTCGGTCAAGATTCTCCTATACAGACCTCCCACTCGGTTAATGAGAGCTAAGTAATACGCCAAAGAAACTGGCTCTGCGAAACCACATGGCCCTATGCAGTTCCTAGCTTACATCATAATGGAGTGAAGTGAAATTGGTTGCTTCTCAATCTAATCAGGAGGCCAAGTGATACAAAGATACTCAAAGTCAACCACATCATTTTCCTCCACCCATGAATACATCATCATTGGTGCGGGATCAGCTGGGTGTGTTCTGGCCAATCGACTGTCAGCCAATCCAGATTTAAGAGTACTCCTTCTCGAAGCTGGACCATCAGATAACACATGGAAAATCCAGATGCCAGCAGCTATGTCATATAACCTAGAAAATGACAACCACAATTGGTTCTATACCTCAGAGCCTCAGAAATATTTAAAAAATAGGTATTAACACAAGTTTATATATTTATTCTCCATTACAAATCATAGTATGAATTTAATTGGTGATTCTCCATTCTAGCTAAGATTGATCCTTTTATCCTTCTCTGTTAAGGACGTGTGGTGGTTACTAGGGAGCCTGGAAAAGTAGGAGAAAAACAGTTAGGAATGCAGTAATGGAAAACTGAGCTCCCCTCTCCTTCCTTTTGACTGTCACTTGCCTCCTTGGTACAAATTTCTTTCTCTCTCTACAGCCCCCACTACTGTAAAATCAAGGATGTCAGGCATTATTTTCATCAAGAAAATACTGAGCACCCGCTTGCTAAAACTATACCTGCTCTGCAGGCTAGCACTTGTTCTTCATGTTGATTTTAATGTTGCTAGAATATGGCTTGATATGAGACATGTGTATATGAACCTTGTCTGAAATTGTTTTTTTATTCTCAGATTTTGTTGTCATACAGAAGAGCTTATAATTTTCAAACTTTCTTTCTCTTTCCTTGCTCTGATTTTTTTTCTGAAACATGCTCACAACAAATGAATTTTACCATTGTTGTCGTACAGAAAAGCATAAAATTTTCAATATTTCTTCCTCTTTCCCAAATGATTAGTTAACATGCAACAGATAGCGAGATACTTTTTTTGATTGAAAATATTGATTGAAATCCACGAATTGGCCGTGAGGGTCTGGGCAAGCGATGAGGTGAGCATGTGAACAACGTTCGTGAAATCATGGGTTCGTTCTTCACAAGAGGATTTTTAGCTTTAACTCACACCCATCAGAGACTAATCGATTTATCAAAGTAGGGGTTTTAAGTAAATTCAAATAGCTGCTCTTCGTGCACATTTCAGGACTATTTACCATCCAAGAGGTCGTGTGGTAGGCGGGTCCTCTTCAATAAACGCAATGATTTTTGCCCGAGGACATGCATTTGATTTCGATAGATGGGACAGGGAAGGTGCCACAGGATGGTCCTATGCAGACTGTCTGCCGTACTTCAAGATGTCAGAAAGCTACGAACGTGGTACGTCTCTGTTGGCCACAAAGTGACTTGTTACCAAAAGCCACTAGGTCGATTCTTTACACGTGTGGCTTCCTGTGATTAGACTCCGCTCATCTCTTATGGGGAGAAAATATGACCACCTCTACGCTCACCTAATCAGTTTTCCGCTTTTAACAGACAAACTTTCCAGCCTTGCTATGCCCTTTTCGAGACAATCTTGAACACAATATAAAGAGAGGAAAATTTATCTACCCTCATACCTATCTTCTCCTCTTCTATCTACGGCAATGTATGGATTCTGTTGGTCTAAGGGCAAATGAAAACTATACCAAATTAACTCAATTACTCAGAAAAATACATTTTCATCCGATATGAAGCACTCCTTTTCAACCCATATACTATTTATACTAAGGCTCTTAGGTGTAGACAAGCACTGTTAATGCCAGAAAAGTGTTTTGCCCAAAAACTACAATATCAGTGACCACGCCCAAGACTCGAACCTGACTTCTTGATCAGCACTCCGGCCCTTCTGCAACCGCTGTGTTTCTTTTATGGACTTGGCTTCATTTTCTACTTTCAGGTGCTAGTCAATATCGTGGAGGAAGTGGGCCAATGCGGGTGTATCGTGGGACACATTTCAACCCTCTCCACCAGGTCTTCATCGCTGCGGGTGTAGAAGCCGGTTATCCATTCACAGATGACTTCAACGGCTTTCAACAGGAAGGGGTGGGCTCGCTGGATCGCACTATACACGAAGGAAAGAGATGGAGTGCCGCAGCCGCTTATCTGAAGCCAGCTCTTCTACGGAATAACTTGACGACCAGAACTGGAGCGCTGGCAAACAGAGTGCTATTTGAAAACGATAAAGCCATAGGGGTAGAATATCGTGTTGGGGATTCAGTGAAACGGGCACGCGCTTCTAAAGAAGTCATTCTGTCTGGTGGAGTCATGAATTCTCCGCAGCTGCTTATGCTGTCTGGGATTGGGGATGAAACAGAGTTGAGGTCGCTCGGAATACCTATGGTGGCAAAGTTACCTGGGGTGGGAAAAAATCTGCAAGATCATGTGCAAGTGTATGTCCAATATGTAAGTATTTAGCACGAGATGATCTTCATGATGTACTGCTCTTGAATTTGATTTGGGAATTTAGGGCCTTGCACCATTTACAGTTGCTTATCATCATGATTATCATCATCAATATTATCCCAATCATCGTCATTTATCATTATCGTCGTTACCATTATCGTACCTTTCGGGCCTTAAGTCGTTCGCCGGTTCACAGTGGCATATAATCATCATTACCATCCTCATTATCTTTTTGCTGCAGTATTAGGCACTTCCGGTTCCGGTTTCTGTTCTAGTGTCCCGTTGCGATTTGTGGGCCGTGTGCTTTTAGAGCCCGCCATATTGTTTTGAAATGATTCCAACTTGATATTAAAGCCAAGGTTATTACAATTATGATAATAATCATTGCTATCCCTTTTTATTACTAAACTCTACCCACATTGGAAATTGTCTTCTTGACTACAAACACAATAGGAAAGCCTTAAGCCAGTGACGTTGAGCAGTACGTTTAAAGTGCACAACAAGGTGCGAGCAGGCCTAAACTGGTTTTTATTCAAGAATGGAGTGTGTGCCTCCAACCATTTTGAAAGTGGAGGGTTCGTTAAAAGTGATTCAAGCGTGTCACACCCCGATATACAGATGCAGTTTGTTCCTACTGCGATGAAAGAGGCGGGCAGCTCTGAGATTATTCAACATGGATACCAGGTAAAAATTTCTGACAAAGTCCTGCATTGACAACGAAAGCGTTGGCAAGCAAAGAAATAACGAAAGAAAATCGGGAAAGGGAAGACGCAATTCTCTCTCAGCTGGTTATTATTTTTTTCCGAGCTTGCATCTCGTCTCCGCCTCTGTTTCTCACTAGAGACTTCTAAGAACAGGCTCATAGGATATTTACCGCCCTGCGGGATTCTCTTTCAGGTATGTGCTGAGATACTTAGACCCAGCAGCCGGGGCTTCGTGAAACTTCGATCACGTGATCCACTCGCCCATCCTGTCATTCAACCAAACTATCTGTCACGTGACGGTGATCGTCGCTTAATGAGGACCTGTGTACAAGTTGCACGTCATGTACTCAACCAGAAGGCTTTTGAACCTTATAGAGGAAAACCGATAAAACCAGGTTTGTTATCGAGCATTTGATGACGTTATTTTCTCAGTTCTAGGTGGTGGTGAATTCTTCCTTAGGCCTTTAAGCCCTAAGAGTGATCAGCATCTAATTTCTCCTTACAACATCACTCCTGAACCACACATTAAGATCACGAGAGTTAAGAAAATGATCACCAACTAAAGGAGCTCTTGATTGTTAAACAAATTCTCCCTGTCATTACCACAGGAAATACATAGATAAGAGTATGGAGAATATGGACTTTTAAGTCAGAGAGTAAGGGTTAAATGGCCCTAAATCTGAATTTTTCGGAGTACCTCGATATTGAGAATGTACAGCGAAGAGCTTCAAGACTTGCTCTAAATCAACGCAAAGGAGACATGTCCTTCGAAGACCGAAGCAAATTGCTAAAATGGCCTACTCTTTCCGACCGTAGAACTTTTATAATCGTAACGGTGGCCAATTTACCATTTCAACTTTGTTGATATATTCAAATTATTTCGTTACCCCCACCGACGCAGCTCCAAACAGTTTCTTTAGAAACTATCAGCCTTTATTTATCTTTAGTTGAGTGTTATAAAATTGTTTTTGGTTTTTACCATTTAGAATTTGGAGACTTTTTTGATTTCGCTACAACTGGATGTACGAGAGCAAATCATCAGTACAAACTTTACGTCAAACCAGCAAGACTTAATTGTTATAAACATTCGTTTTTCATTAGGATTGTTAAATTATGGAATGAATTACTAAGAAACATAGTGGAAGCTGATAATCTTCAGCATTTTAAATCTCAGCTTAAATTGTACTTAAATATT